ATTTGTCATGTTGTGAGATTAAACTAGAAAATCATATACAGATATTGCCTGACCCTGCATGCCCAGACTTTTGGGTCCTGGGTGTTTCTCTGTTGATACAGGTGCATCCACAGGATTCTCAGCATCACCAGGATGAGCAGCTGTAGGTTTCTGAGGCTGTGAGAACCTGTTTTAAAACTTACTCTGCATGAAGTCACATCTCTGCCAGACAGCATCAGGAAAAGAGAAGGAGCTCTTTCTGCCAGGGTTATTTTCACTGTGACAACCCTCGTTCTGTCCACCTGAGATGTCTGTGTGATGTGATCATGTGGCACAGAATGTGAGTGCGTGGGCAGAAGGGGAAGAAGAGGAAGAAAAAGCCCCAGATAGAGAAAAATGTTCTTTATGTAATAACCTATTTATGTAATAACCTATTTATGTAATAACCTATTTATGTAAACCCAATTTGTGAGACAAATTGATGAGGATCGCCTTTGTTTACTTGCCTGTCTCCTTCTTCCTCAGTGTCCTCCCTGGTCTCTGCCTTTTTCTACCTCCCAAAGTCTGGAAAGAAACAGAAAAAAAAAAAATCTTTCTTTCATTTGCTCCCAAGAAAGGCTCCACATCAAACATATTGGCTTGTTTACTCTTTGAGACACAACGCAACCTGAGGACCAGAACTGCCCAGACATTGTGAGACAATGTTCTTTTGAATATTTAAACTCAACTGTGTTTGAACAGAATTATTTTATTGTGTAATAGAGGAGTGAATGGGTATTTGCAATTTAGCAGACTACAAGCAGACATCATGGTATATTTTTGAGAAATGGATTTAAGTTGCTACAAACAAAGCTTTATTTTTAGCATTTTGCTTAGGTAGTCTAGGAGAAGAAACGTGTAACATGACTGTGAGTTCAATCTGAAACAGAAGGTCTGCGATGCATGTCAAAAACCTCCAGGAATTAACTTTAAAAAGTAACTCACTACACCTACATTCCCTGCTCAACTGGAAATAACACAAGGAGTTTGGGGAGGGGTTATAATACAGAATCAGTTTCCAATGATTTGGTGTAACATCATTGACTGCTGAGTGTAATCAATGGCATAAAATATTTCAAAATGTTTTCAGTTCTCCCTCAATTGTTTGGAATGTACCTGTCTGTATTTATGTGCTTTTCCCCCTGTTATTTCAATTATAAGATATTTTACTGCTGTTTGAGTAAACATTGTTGGCTGAAATAAGCTGAAATATATGAAGTAAAATAGGCGCAGTTTCCTTTTCTCTTAACCTCATTCATTCATATAGTGAACAACACTAAGATGAAATTAATAAGTGAATCTTTTCCCACTAATACAAGTTTGCACCCTCGGATTTAACATGGACTTCATGGGAATTAGTTGAAAAATATGCTGATGCCCCAGATCGTCTTTGGTATGTGCCAAAGATGTCACTTGAGCACAAGGAATCAGACTCCAAATGTGCTGCTCATTTTACCTGAGCTGAGACTTCGTCCTCTTGAACGTGTTCTGCATTCTTAGTCTCCTAACATTAAATTTTATGAATGAATAACAAAGTAATTAAAGAAGAATTAGCTCATGGAATGAACCAGAGCAAACACCTCCTGCTTGTATCGTAACCATCATCCCCTCAGTCAGCCCATTCTACTTACTCTGTACCAGGGTGTCTGCAGCTCACTGATGACTCACTGAGAACAAGCTGCAGCCCTTCAAAAAGCTCCGTGCAGGAGCACCAGGCGTTGTGTGCAGTGCAGCAGGTACATCAGGTAGGTGCCGTATGGGAAATGGCTTTTGGACCTTGCTGGGGGGTCGCTGTGGGAGTTTTGGGGGCTATCTGATAGGACCAACCTCAGGTTGCTGCATCAAGCCGGGTTTCATTCTCCTGGAGAGCCGGAGTGTCGGCGGGCAAGAACGTGGGGGTGGAGTCAGGAGGTTCAGCCAGGTGAGAGCATTTTGCTTTACCAGGGGCTGAGCGTTCGGACCAGGGATGTTTCTGGACAGCTGCCCTGTGTCGATACCATCCCGCTTCTCACTGGCGAGTCTGTAACCACACAGTCTGATCCACCACCACAAACCAGCTGCAGAGTCGTGGTCCGGGGGGGCACTGCTGGAGTTTTAGCTCTTTGGTACTGGTTCTCTAAAAGCCCTCTGCGTACAGGCAGTATCCTGTGACCGGAGCGTACGAGGTGCCCTGCCCCTCTGCAAGGGCTGCGCGCCGGGAAAGACACGCACCAGAACTGAGACTCTGCAGGTTTGCTCTCGAATTCTATGAGCTCAGACCCCTGGATGAGGCACTCGAGGAAAGGCTATCGATAACTTCCTAAACTATGCTGAGAAAGATACCTGCGGCTCTGTTTTCAGCATTGCTATAAAACGTGAGAAGCCTTGTTAAATCGCGTTTAATGACTGGGGATCTCAGCCTAAGTGGCTCCTTCATCCAGCAGCTGTGAGTAATAATACTCACATGAGCAGGTTTCACTGGCAGGACGCTAACAGACCTGCAGTAGGAACATCACGTACTCCGGAGCTCTGAGCAGCTCCTGCTGGAGCCGAATTATTTCCCCCTGGGGAGGGAGGAATTGTTTGGAGCTCCTTGAGTGCAGAGAGGAGTTGAATTATCTGTTCAGCTGTGTCGTGCCCCACCTGAGCTGACAGTTCGGCTGTTAGTAGCACTTACTCAAACCTGGCAGGCAAAGGGATAGCTGTGCAGTGTGAGAGAATCTCCTGAGCATCTGTTTCCCAGTTTAGCTGGATTTCTCCTACCAGCAAGAGCTGTGCAGAGCACGCTACTTGTAAAGGTTTTCCCTGAAATTTTACTTCAGAAGGTCTTCTATCTTAAAAGTTCTAATTGTCGCACATGCAAATGAGTCGGGTGCGAGACTTCTGGCGCTTGTACGCTTCCCTACGCGGGGAAGTGAGTCCCCGGAGCATCCCGCATCCTCCCCGCGCCTCCCGCAGGCTGATGGACCCCGCACCCACCGCGCCGCGGAAACCAGACCCTGCGGGGGTCTGCACCGTGGAGCCGGATCTACTCCCCTCTTGCCTCTAAAAACAGCAATAGCCACAGAATTTGTTTCCACGGGAGGACGGAAACGTTTAATTTTATTCTGGAGCGGGTGTGCGGGAGCGGGGTGAGGCTGCGGAGCGTCCGGACTCGCGCGATCCCAGATCGGAGCCAGGCTGGAGGGTCAAGGGGGGACCAAGGGGAAGGAGCCGAGAGGGGAGCGAAGCTCGGACACCCCGAGAACCACGGACACCCCTCCCACCTGGCGGCGATGCGGGAGTGGCTGCTGCAGCCCGTCCTCAGGGGAGGGGGATGCTCGGCGCTCCCCAAAATCGCTCCTGAAAACGCTGGTTTCTTCAAATTGGCCTTGAGGAGGAAAAAAAAAAAAAAAAAAAGGCAGAAGAAAAGCGCCCCACAAACCCCCACAACCCCAAAAAACTAGTGGAAAATGAGAGCTCTTCTTTCCCGGCATGTACTTAGGGGTCACGCAGGGAGTGGGACACCAACACAAGAGCGTCCCTGGGCCAGCGGGAGCCACCTCGGGGTGCTCACAGCGGTTATAGACTTTTTTTTTTTTTTTTTTTTTTTTTTTTTTTTTTTTTTTTTTTTTTTAAATTAGAAAAAAGACAGTACGGATTATAAAAGTCCGACTTCAGTACGAGTTTAAAAGTAATCGGCGGAAAGGCGATGAGAAGCTTACTTTATATTTAAAGTGGTAGAATCTGAAAGAGATGATTTACTAAATTTACATAAATCCTAAATATCGGGTTCGCCGACAGCGGAAACACGGCAGAGATGTCGGATTCTCTCTCTCTATAAATTTTCTCTCTTTTTTTTTCTTTTTTTTTTTTTTTGTTCTTAATATTGCACAAATCGACAAAGCCAATTTAGAAATTGCAAACAAGGGAAGTAAGAAGGGAAATACCCTCTCTCGTACAAGAAGAATAAAGAAGAATAAATTTGCGTATAAGAAATACGCTCTCAGAGTAAAAAAGGAAGACGCAAGACATCCCTCCAAGTGTCTCATGAGCCAGGCGTTTTCCCGAGGAAACTTTACTTACAAAGATTCAGCCGAAAAACAGGGACTCGCCACCACCGTTTCCTTAGAGTTTATTGATTGACTTAAAGTGTTTAGCAAACAAAGTGCTTTCTTTATCACCTCTTGCTCATTACTCCCTCACCTTATACATTAATTACAAAGTTAAAACTTTTTTTTTTTTTTTTTTTTTTTTTTGTAACAACCAGAAATATACAGAAATGATTAACGTAAAAAAAATAGCCCCGCGCCCGGGCAGCTGCCCCCGCCGCCCCTTCCTGGGCGAGAGTCCCTCTGTCCCGCGGGTCCACAGGGTCTCGGCCGAGCTCGGGGGTCGTTCGAGAGTGACGTCTTGTAAAAAATATCCATCGTCACCGTGAGGTCACGGGAGGGAGCGGAGCGTCGTTGCCTCGGCAATGTCGAGGGACGGGACCGATAAGTTCTCTGCTTTACCCTGAGAGTCATATGGGTACATAATATTTTCCTTTTTTAAAGTCTTTTGAGTGTGGCCAGACCAGAATAAAAGCAAAGTCAAATAATAATAATAATAATAATAATAATAATAAAATTAATCAAACCCACATAGCAACGAGGGACGGTGAAAAAATAAAAATACGGGTAACGATGATTTACATCTACTTGTATGTACACGGGGGAAGGGAGGTTTTCCTCTTCCTCCTCCTCCCCTCAGCAGCTCAGTCCGGACACATCGCGTACAAAAAGGGTCGTAGAAAGGACGGAGGGCGGGAGGGTCGCCCTTTTGAACCCCCGGGGTCGGTGGGAACACCTGGTCATCCCTTCTTCCCTTCCCCCGGTGTCGCTGCCAGTCGGTTCTTGGTTTCACCTCTCGGGAGCAGGGGGAGTCGTGCGGCGAGTGGCCCCCCAGAGCCCGGCCGGGTGGTCCCGAAGGGGCACAGCGGGAATGGGCCGGGAATAAGGAGGATGAGGAAGGGGCGCCGGGGCTTATAGGTGCGGGGTGTAGAAAGCCGGTGCGCCGTAAGTCTGGGAGCCCAGGACGAAGGGCGAGAGGACGGCGGGGCTGGGCAGGAAGGGCAGCTGCGCGGCGCAGACCAGCCCCCCGGCCGGGTGCCCGGCGTAGCTGCCGGGGCCGTGCATGGACAGCGGGGCGCCCATGGGCGGTGAGTGGCTGAGCGGGCTGAGCCCCCCCGGCAGAGCCCCCCCGCCCAGCGCGCCCCCGGCCCCGCCGCCGCCGCCCCCGCCCGTGGGCGCGCTGGTGTCCGCCCCGGGGTTCTGCTTCTTCCACTTGGTGCGCCGGTTCTGGAACCAGATCTTCACCTGCGTCTCGGTGAGGCTGAGCGACAGCGCCAGGTTGAGGCGCTCGCACACCGACAGGTACCGCGTGGACTTGAACTTGTTTTCCAGCGCCACCAGCTGCTCGTAGGTGAAGGCTGTCCGCGCCCGGCGGGGCTTGCCCGACTTGGAGTCCGAGCCCGTCCGCTTCCTCTTGGGCTTGGCCTGCGGGCCGGGCTGCGCCCCGACGGGCGGCGGGGGGGGCGGCGGAGGGGGTGGTGGGGCCGGGACACCCCCGGGCTCGGCCGGCTCTGCGCGGAGCGGCCCCGGGTCGGTCTCTCCGAGAGCCGCCGGTCCGGAGCTGCCGCCGCTGCTGCTGCTGGTGCTGCCGCTCTCCTCGCTGCACAGCTCCTCGTCGTCCGGCAGCTCGCTGTCGGGGCTGCGGCTCGGCCGGCTGCTGTAGTCCAGGTCGCACTCCTCGGCCTTGTAGAGCTCCCCGTCCTCTGCGGACAAGCGACAGCCACTGTTAGGGATCGCCGCCTGGCCCACGCCCCCGCCCGGCCCCGGACCCATGAGGAACCGAACCCTTCCCGGGGATTCACCCACCCCCTATCCCCGCTGCTGACGGGACAGGAGTGCCCGGCCCTCCCCGGCTCTCCACCTGCCCTGGGGATGCTGCTGGTCCGGGCTCGCCGGCCCCTCTGGCCCCCTGCACCGGGAGTGGGTTGGGTGCACATGGTGAGGAGCCGGGCAGAAGCGGCCGGGATGGTGTCTCGGAGCCGCCTCCGAGGACAGCCTTCACCCACGAGCCTTCCCTGCAGCCCTGGGTCAGGGAAGGGGCTGTCCAGCCCGGGAAGGCTTTGCCAGAGCTGCCCCTGCCGAGCTACCCAAGTTAGGCAAGAGCTGGCACCGAGATGTGGCCCGGGGCAAGGGATACAACCCCCTTCCCACCCCCTCCAACGCGCCTGCAAAACAGCCGGTGGCTGGAAAGGACTTTGGGAAGACAGCAGGGTGGGTGTCCCGGGGACGCTGGACGAGGAGCAGCTGGGGACAACCCCCGCCCGGGCCGAGCCAGCCGTGCCTGGGATGTCACAGCGCTTCTAACAATTTTAGTGACGGAAATCTCCGAATCGATGGGAGATTTGCTAGTTTTTGCTCTGGCATTTTTAACCCTTCCTGCGTCTGGTTTGACCTCTTGTCACTTCCCGAGATGGAAGTATTAAAGTGGAGTAAATACTTGTATTGATTAGCAGAGCAGATACAAACTTAATTAAACTCATTTTGTGCAATGTACATACTAGTTAACGGTCCTTTAATTTATTTGGGTTTATATTACGCTCCAATTAACGGGTCTCCATCGGAGAACAGGGTAATTATCCGATATTTAAGGCTATTGGACTTCTGCTGACGGTTCTGTCATTATGAAGCCTAAAAGCAAATTGCGCTTTCCGGAGAACCGGCTCCTCCTCACCCCGGCCCGGACTCCTTCGGGGGAGCGGGAGGAGAATTCTCTCCACGGGGCGGGAATGGGGGAGGCCCCGCGGGCAGGTCGGGGGCAGAGGCCTGTGAGTACCGTCCTTTTTAGTGGGTGCTTTCAGACACTCCTAAACTTCCCTGCACTCGCAACGGGGGCTCAGCTCCGGGAACCCCTAATCGAGGACTCAACTTTAATTTAGTTAACAGAGATATATAAATAGGAAGTGAATCGCTGGTCTGTCACCCTCATCCAGCCCGTAGTTTAGCTGGTTTTAATCCTCAAAAAATCTGAACACGCCTCAAACCTGGTCCGTATCCCCGCACTGGACCCTATAACTCCCATGTGTAAAATTAAGGGTGGTTTTAAAAGTGTGTTTTGTTCAACGCGCTAATTTCGGATGCGGATGTTTTTGTAGGAGAAAAAGAGGCGGAGAAGTTTACTGTAGTCCTTTTCACCCGGAAAATATCCCTTAATAACTCGGGGTTCATTAAGAGCCCTTTCCAGCTTTCTGTTCAGGTCGGCGCATGGAAAACGCGGTCGATCGCCGCCGCACAGAAGGGAACCGGGTCAATTTTCTCCCAACCCGACCCCGTGAGTGCAGAGGAGCGTCCTGCAACCTGTAGAACCTGTTGGAATTTGCAGGGCGTAATTTTTGCAGCAACAATTAATAAAAACTGCTAGTAGATGCGTCTACAGGGCAGACCCGGGAGCTGAGCTCAGCCCCAGCACTCACACACGGACCAGACCGGGAACCCGCAGCTGGCAGTTTGGAGGTTTAATTTTACCCCTAGGAAATCCCTGCCGTTGCCCAATCAAAAATTTTTTTAGATACAAAAAAACCCCCCCAAAAACCACCACAAACCAAAAAAAACCCAAAACCAACAAAAAAACCCACCAAAACGCAAGGCGACTAGAACTAGTTTCGGAGGTGGACGCTGGACTTGCCATTTTGTTTCTGGGATATGTTAAATGGGAATTTATAATAGAGAGTTTTAACTATTATTTTTGACATTAAAATAGTTTTACGAGCGGCGAGCCCTGTTGCCACTCTCCTTTGGCCGGAAAGCCTTGGCTCTTTCCGGGGGGAGGATGGTTCTTTTCTGTCCAGAGCTACTTTTCGGAACGCTTCTCCTAAATTAAGCCACCGCTTGAACTAATATTAATTACGGCGGGGAAAGAGAAGAATTAAATTTCGTGATTTTCGAGCAGTCCCAGACCTATCCCTGACTGTTGTCACGACACCGAGGTGATGTGGCCGAAAGGCTCCGTGTGCGGAGCGTCCGGGGAACTTGTCAGCGGGCAAAGCGCACCGCGGCGTGGAACCTCCAAGTGTATTTATTTTGAGAGCAGGGATGGAGTTGCATTTCTCTCCTTGTCTGGAGATAAAAGTGTGAGATTAGCGATAGGCTGACCTCGTCAGTCTTTCTGATCGCCCAGATCTATTTAATATGACAAAAGTCAGATGAGTTTAGAGGAATAATTACTAACCCAGCTCCGCACTACTTTAAAGAATGTCTTTTGAATTCTATTAATGCTCCGTTCCTGCTTTTGCCTTATAGATGAAAAATGCGTCAAGGCTCGGTCTGGAGCAGATTCCAGACCTCTTTTGCTGACTAATTTTAACTGACAGAGTCCTGTTATGGCGGGGTTGGAAGCCTCCGAGTCCTCCTCTCTTCCCCCCAGACACAGAGAAATTTTTTTTCCTTAATCGAGAAGTTGATCCCCCTCCGCTCGCTGCCCCCTTTTCTCCCCTCTCAGGACATGGAATAACTCTTTATTTTTCACAACAACCGTCTTTTTTCCCGGAAACCCCCTGCGGTCCCCATAGCCGCGGTGTTTAGAGGTGAGAAAGTTGGGATATTTGGACCCAGAAAGAAAAAGCAATCTAGAGCTTGGGTCGAATGCAATTCCCGATCAATAGCGAGCCCTAATAAGTGTAATAGGTTTTAATCGAGTAATTATCCGAATTTTGACCCTATAATTTAGATGTTAGGGAAGAGTTTGCAAGGTGCTTGAAAGAGATATGCACAATTCGATAATAGGATATCGATCCAGGCAGTCCTACATGCCACTCTGGGGCGATTTTCCCCATTATCCAGCCTCTTTACGCTGCTAAGCACATTTTACCTTAAATGTAATCGAAGGAATTTAATTGTTTTTCCAGAGATAACCAGCATTTTGTCACAATTAGTCTGATTTGTCCTAAAAAAGCCAAGGGGAGAGAGAAAATTGAATCTGTCGCCCAGAGCAACGGGCGGCAGCGGCGGGGGGAGGACGGGAGAGGAGTCCGGGGCTGGGAGAGAGAGATACAAAGTCATAAAAGCCTACGGGGACCCAGGCGAGATGGGGGTACGGAGGGAGGGTTTTCACAGCCTCGGGGCTGGAGCTGCGGCCCACCGAAGCCGAAGGAGACGCTCGCAAGTTGGCCAGAGCCGGAGCTCGCAGCCACCGCTGCCCCTTCCCGAGAGGAGGGGAACGGCGGGGACCCTGCCCGATCCAGCCGGGCCGGTACCCCCGGGGCTGATCCTGCCGCCCCGGGGATGGACCAGGGTATCCCCGCTGAACCCCTCGGACAGGCGGGAGCGGGGAGTGGAGCCCGGCCGGTGCCGAGCTCCGGGAACCCAGCCCCGGCCAGTCCCGGGGGGATGTGTCCTGCTCCCCGCCCTGTCATTCCTCAGCCCAACACAGAATTCCACCTCTCTACGTCCAGCAGCAGCAGCGCAGGGAGCATTTGTCCTTCCCCAGCGCCCCGGCTCCCGAGGCTGCCAGCGGGGGAAGGATGACCTGTCAAAGCATGCGAGCCCCTTGCTCGGGGGGGCTCCGAGCCCCCAGACCTACTTACTGATCAGCTCTGCGGATTTCTTGCACGAGTCGAAATCTTCGGCGAGAACCTTTTGCTCGGCCAGCTCCGTCCCTGAGTCCTCGGGCTTATCCTCCGCCCCCAGCGTGAACTCGGTCCCCACCGATTTGTACAAGCCCGCGCACTGCCGCCGCTTGCTGTTGAACTTGTTAGGGTCCAGGATGTCGAGCACGGAGAAGGAGGTGGTTCTGTGCACCATGGGCAGCGCGGCCACTGCCCCCTCTTGTCCGGGGGTGTTGCTCTGGCTGTCCCCTTGCCTGTCCCGGTTGGCAGGGCAGTAGAGAGGCAGCTCGCCGCCGGCCGAGAGCCGCTGCTCCCCGCGGCCGTCCATCCCTTCCCCGTGGCAGCCGCGGGGCTCCCCGCCGATGCCGGCTGCGGGGGCTGTCACCGCCGCGGCTGCCGCTGCCGGGATGGAGATGTCACCGACCTTGTCTCTGCTCACATTCATGACTCTTTGCAGAGCCCCTCTCGGTAGTAACTTCTCCCCCCCCACCCACCCTCCCCTCTTGCTCTCCCCCCCCCTCCCCTCCTTCCTCCGGCGAAGTTGATCTGGAAACTCCTCCCCAGCACCGCTCCGGCTCAGGACGAGCCGCTGCCTTCAGCTCCCCGGGGCTGCGCTGGGTCCGGCCGCCGGGAGCCTCCGGGGGAGGCAGGGAGTCACAAGGTGATGCTCGGCTCAGAGCCTCCACTCAGCTGCTCCTTCTTCCTTCTCATCATCCTCGCCAGGCTGCCCAGGCGCTCCTGCCCCCCCTCCTCTCCTCTTTCGCGCACACACACACACAGAGGCAAGGCTGTATCTTATTTATGCATTCATATTTAGCACTGGATTGTAATTGGCTACAAATTAATCCCTTGCCCATAATAGTCTGTAATCTTCATCACTGGAGGAGAGACACGGTGAAAGTGTGTGCCGGGGGGAGGGGGGCAGAGAGGGAGAGAGCGAATGAAGGATGGTGTTGGCTGTGATATACTCGGCTGTCAGCTCTGTTTCAGCACACCTCCACTCATCTGGAAAGCATCTAAATAGCCTTATTTGGAGAAGTGGGAGGAGATGACGCTTTCTTTTAAATAATTGCGGGATCAATATAAAGAAGATATTATACACAGAAAATGGGAACTTAAGGTCTTCCATCCCCAATGGTGGAGTTAGATGATCAAAAGGGGATTATGTGTGTGTGTGTGTGTGGCCTCAAAGGTGTCAGCACCCAGCACCTGTTTCCCTTCCCTGCTGGGTTTATTAAATTAGAACAAAAGGAGAAAATTATGGACGGAGGTTTAGCGGTTGGAGCGGAGCTTGTGTCTGCGGACACACACACCCTCACGCGCTTCTCTCTCTCCCCCTTAGCTAATTAATTAAAATTAAATATCGAATGTAAGTGCCAGGAAAGTACCGGAAGAAAATTAATACGTTTAAATGGCACAAGACAAAACACGACTATCAATAAATCCTGAATAACTGGGAGAAGAGGTCTGTTCCGTTCCGTGCAGGAGTAAAGGTATAACCAGACCTAACTTCCACTTCCGAAAAAAATACTCTCTTATTAAAAGTGGTTTTAATGATGGAAAATTAAGACATCGGAATAAAATTTCCTGCGAATTATAAAACCTGATTTTCTCCTCCTTCATCATTTCCTTCCCTTTCGTGTAAAGCCGTGTATGCTTTGATCATATCAATTTCATTCTTGTTTTGGACGCTCCAGTCGCTACTCAGTTTGAATTAGCTACCAAGAAAAAAAAAAGGGGGGGGGGGCGTAGGAAAATAGAGAAAGCATAAAAGGAAAATTAGATTTTTTTTGTCTTTGAGGCTGGTGACACATACAAGGACAGGTCCTTTGCAATTACCGCGGGCAATGATCCTTTGGAAAGCAGAAATTAAAAGTTGGGAGAAATAATGGGTAAAACAATCAGCTTGTAATTTTGGTAGGGCTTGGACATGATTAGTCCATCAGCGGGCTGGGCCCAGGGGAGTCCCGCTGAGCCGGAGCCCACAACAGCCCCCGCTCATATATTATACACCAGCCCTTAGATTTTAATCAGACACCACAACAGTGTCCTTTCTCTTTTATGACTTTATTATGCTTTATCTTTAAATTATAAATCACCTCCTGGGTTGAAATGGTATGTATAATCTCTGATCATGTGTAGGTAATTACCTCTCCCCCTTGTCCTGACCTCACCGACGGGGCTGCCACGAACATACAGCGAGAGCGAAGTTTTAATCTGCGTTTGCACACACTCAAACGAACCCACAAACAGGGGTTTATTGGTTTGTTTGTGTGCTAACAGCTCCTCTTTCCCTTCTCCTCCGGACATGCCTTTGATTCCCTTTTTTTTTTTTTTTTTTTTTTTTTTTTTTTTTTTTTTTTTCCCTTCCATTACTTCTGTCCGCAGCGCTGGGATATTATTTATGAAAAGTAGATGGTGGTTTAGGTAGGTGCCGATGACTCGGCTGTATCGGATTCGCCTGCCTTTGTACCATTTTTTTTTTTTATTTTTTTTTTTTCCAGTGAGAGTGCAGTTTATTTGGGGCTGACGGCGGTAGGGATATTTTTCATTCCCTGGGTCAGCACGTCTTAGGAAAAAAAAAATTAACCTAATTGTATTTGACTCCTGTGCCCGGGCATGGACAGTTCCCAGGCGTGCGGAGCCCGGAGCGGTGACAACAGCACAAATTCCAGGGTTTGCGCTGGGCGTTTGGAGCAGAAGGACCCACATCCCTAGGGATCACCCCCTAACAGAGGAACCTCCTGTTGGCCCCGATGTGCTTGCAGGCACCACCGAGCACCGACAGACACAACCCCCCCTCGCCGGGAGCTGAGGGGGGTGCGCAGGGATGCTGAGGAGGCACTACCGGGCCCCATCCCACCGGGACCCCCAGCCCACACGGCGCTTTTGTTTGTTGGCGGTTTAAAGCGAGTGTTATAAAGATGTTCTATTGCTCCTAATCACAATTGATTGTCAATTAGAGCCTCATTTGTGCAATCTCCATCCATCTGCCATCTCTGGTTATCTGTTCACCAGAAAGTTAGCGCTGATTATGGGGCCCTAGATGAGTTGTGACATGTAATATCTCGCCCGTAGTCGGGCCGGGTGACCGGTCCCGTCTCCCTCTCTTTCCATTTTCCTCTCAGGATGGACGAGCAACAGCCTCTCCTGACTCACTCGCCCGGGAGACGCTGCCCTTCGGGACCAGCTGGAAGGGTGCTGGGGGTGAGGGGCTGGCAGGGGACCCCCAGACAGGCGGCATCGGCGCCGTCCAGAGCCAAGTCCCGGTATTTTGGGCCCGGATCCCTTGCCCTGCTGACGAAAGCTCCCACGAAAGCTTTTCCTTCTCCGAAATAAATAGGGAATCACACGGAACATCCTCTCGTTTTTACGAGCCTCCCCGCCGCAGCGATGGTTATCTCTGTAGTTAGGCTGAATTATACCTGCGGGCAAGTGATATTTCCAGAGCCTGGAGGCACCGGTGGCCAGAGCATCTCCCGGGAGCCGCCGGCCCCTCGGCCACCCCGAGCCCTGTGTGCCCCCGGGGTGTCGTGTTTGAGGACGGGACCCGATGCCTTGGTTCTGCCGGTGCAGGGCAGGTGGGACCGCTCAGAGGGCTCTGCTCTGGCTCCCCTCTGTGCCGGTCACCCTTCACGCAGCAGGCCGGGCATCCTGCGGGTCCCGGTATGCCTTCGCGGCTCCCCAGTCCCCGGCAGACCCCAAAGCCGTGGCCTGCGGGAGTCCTGGGGTGCTGGGCTGGAAGGAAGGGGTCCCGCTCTCTCCCACGGCTACGAGGGGGTTTTAACTTAATTAGTTAATACCGAATTTCAAATTATATTTCAGCGACCTCCAGATCAACGAGCTGTGGTGGGGGTTTTTTTGTTTGTGTTTTTTTTTTTTTTTTTTTTTTTTTTCTCTTTACTGTTCTCCATCCATCCCCCTCCTCGTCCCTGGGGGTCTGGAGCTTCGGGTAATTAAGGACATTTATCGCCGCGGTAAAACAATTTAGCAGCCCCTCATTGCGCCGAGAAGGTCACTCTGGTGGCTACACCACCAGGAGCGGAGACTCCGCGTCCCTCCTAGCTCGGCGCTGCCCGCAGCCCCGGTAGAGCGGGGTATCTCCGGTGAGGGGCATTCCGCGGCAGTGTCTGCCCGGTTAGGGGGGCTAGGAGCTCCCTTGGGCTTCTCGTCTTCCCAATTTTGTTTCCAAACGCAATTGGGGTCCAAAACTCATCTCCTCTTGCTCTAGACGGGTTACTCTATTTATTATTATTATTATTATTATTATTATTATTATTATTATTATTATTATTATTATTATTATTATTATTGCTCCTGAGGCCGCAAGCAGCCATGGGAACAGCCCCCGAGCCTCGCACATGGCTATTGGTCTCAGCGTGATTTTGTGCCCCGCGAGTGTCCCCCCCCGTGCAGGGCAAAACCGAGTGGTCACCTCGGGATTCCCGACTCTCCTCGGGAAAGTAGGGGATCCTTCCCCATGCACCCCCGAGCCAAAATCAGGGAATTAATTAACTCTACCCACGAAGGCAAATGATTTAGGAAGAAAAAAAAGATTCTGAAACAGATCTCGCCCTCTATCAATGCGGTGTCAGGTCCTCATAGTAGAAGATTTAAAAGCCCTGGGGATTCCAGGTTAGGGTAGTAATGAGCTTAATTGAGGTTAATGCTTCCTGCACAGCTCCTTGATTATTAAATTAATATTATCACACACATGAATCATAATTAGAAGTTTAAATAATGCTCTAGGGGAATCCTCGGAGGATCTATTAAACAGTTCCCTTCCCTCTCGCCGGCTCCCTCCCAGCTCCGCGGCAGCCCGAGGGCAGCCCCGGGGGCGGCTGAGGATGGGCGCTGCTTGGGCGGGGACGGACGGAGAGGTGTCACCACGGGGACAGAGAGAGAGGGGCACTGCACCCACGGTCCCTCGTCGCCCTTCAAGCCTCATCTCGGTGGATCCCCGTTTAACCAGCCGCTCCCCCCCCCGCCCCCTCCCGCCTCCTAATTTGGGCGCTTATCTCCCAGCACCCGGGAATTTATATAAAATACTAATAAAGTGCCTTGTTGTCACTTATCGCGGCTGGGATCGGCTCTGCAGGGGCTTTTTCACACACACCTCGCGGAAGCCGATCCGTTTTTCTGGCAGGAGGCTGGAGGCGCCCCCGGGAGCATCCCCGGGCCGCCCGCCGGGATGTGGGGCAGGGAGGGGGTGGAACGGGGAGACACCCCCGCCTCTTTCCCGAGTACCAATCCCAGCTCCAGTGCCCGCTGCCCCAGCCCTCGGCACGGGCGGGACACGTGTGGGAAGCAGCCGAGGAAAGGGGTGTCCTTCCTGGCTGGGGGAGCACATCCGATCCCTCATCCCCCGAGCCGGGGGTGCCGCACCGACAGCAGCGTTGGGGACCCACCCTTTCCCGGGGGGCTCGATTTTTATTTATTATTATT